TCAAGATCTCCTAGAACAGAGAAGGAGCTCTAACCACTTGAGTCATTATAGCTGATTTCTACAGGCGCTTGTACGGTGCAACTTACAGTCGTTTTGTAGGAAAGAACATGATATGTAAAAGTAATGATCATATTGGTATAGTGAAAAGGACACACTATTAAAATGTAATGAACATATATCTAGAGTGAAAATAACATACTATCAAAATGTAATGAACATATACCTAGAGTGAAAAGAACATATTTGCACAAAAAAAACGAAAAGAACGTATATTTATGTTCTTTGATTGTTAGTATAATGTACTTTTATTTGCGACATAATATTCATTGCTTATTGTGAAATGTTTATTGAATTTTGTTTTCAAATTATGGTGGTTATATATCGATAATGTTTATTACATAATATTATCATGTTCTTTATTAATATTACAGATGTTCTTTTGATATGAAAAAAATATATATAATTGAATGTTATTTACAAAACAACTATATGTTCTTTATGAATTATTGTATGTTCTTTACAAAATAGTTACATGTTCTTTTTGCGTTTTTTTGGTTGTACCAAACAAGGTACAACCGTCTGTACCTTGAGTCATCCCTCATTGTATAGTCTATTTTAATCATGTGTTATTTCTTTTATTTGTATCTCTCTAGAGTTGTCAAAATCTAACGTGACAACTCAATCCAAAATCAACTAATTAAAACTCGATTCAAATTTTAACTTATATGAACGCAATAATTTAGCGTGATTCAAATTTAAAATAGACTGGACAGAACTTGACCTCACCAATCCGATTCACAGCTTGAATCGACACCTCTTCTCATAGTTAGCAATTTTTAAGAGAACGGAGTTACTTTACTTGGTAATTCTGAGTTGATTGATAATTTTGCGCTCCAGTTTAGATCCACTGTGTGAGCGAGCTTTGATCTCCACCAACAATGGCGGTCTCCCATCTTCATCAGAGACCGACACACAAACGTCCTTCTTCCTTTCTTAATCGCACAAATCTCACCCTCGTTTTCTCTCTCCTCATAATCCTTGGTTTCTTCTACCCTTATCTGGGAATCTCCCAACCCTTTTTCTCAAACCCCAACTTCGCTTTTCAGTCTAAATGGCGAAATTACTCCCTCCAAGAAGCTGTTTCATTTGTTGGGCGAAATGGGACTGTCATTGTTTGTATAGTTAGTGAACCTTACTTGGATTTTTTGAACAATTGGTTGATTAGTGTTACCAGACATAAACATCAAGACAAAGTTTTGGTGATTGCTGAAGATTATAACACTTTGTATCGGGTTAATCAAAGGTGGCCTGGTCATGCTGTGCTAATTCCTCCAGTTCTTGAATCTAATTCTGCCCATAAATTTGGTTCCTTGGTATGAAATTTGTTGCCATATTTATTTCAATATAATTTATCATATTGCTGATTGATTATTATTGCTATTGGGGATTTGGGAATTTTGTTTTTTAGGGTTTTGATCTGATTTTGGTGTTTGAGCTTTTCAATGTGAACTTGTTCTTTACAAGGGTTAGTGTGTTAGTAAATAACTTGTGAAATTGTGATGTTACTAGTTCATATATTTAGTTTTTGGAGTTGTTCATGCGCAAAGATCATATCCCAATGTCTTAGTCTGTAATTTTGATTTTTGATCATTGTGGGGAGTGGGTTTTGGGTCTGTTTTAGATAATTGAGCTTGTTTATGTGAACTATTCTACTGCTTTATTAAATGGATTGCTACATCAGGAAATGAATTGTGATGTTAACATACTTACATCTGATATAAGCATGGCTGCATGGAGAGTTTTCATATAAGAAATATCAACTATCTTTTCTAGTTGAAATTGTCAATTAATGCTTCAATAATGAATGAGAATTTTGAAACTAGCTAAGCTATAAGTGGCCCTCATCTCTCAGAAGATATGAAAGGGGAATTTTGTTAATTATCAAGGGAGGAGGGGGGGCGGGGTGGTTATCCGGTTATGCGTGAAGTTTTTATGTCATTGTGTATAAGATGATCATAGGCGAGTCGTTTTGTAATTTAAGCTATGGAAGGATGTCTGGTTTGCCATTTAAAGCTTCTGTATAATAGGATGTCTGGTTATGTATGCTCATATGAGGTGAAACAAAGATTGTCATTACTCGGTTTTCTCTTAATATATAGTTGGCGTTATGGCCATGCTTGAATTTAGAGAGATCAGGGGTAACATAAGGGAATGGTGGATGGGGGACAAGAAAATACAAGTTAATCACCAGGATAAAACTGCAGTGTTTATCCTGGGCTAACCAGGTAATTTCGCTAGGTAACAGTAGGTGCCCTTGATGGTAATCTTAGAACTTGGTGTATGAATATATTACTTAACCAGTTGGTTTGTATAATTGATACACAAATCTTAGCAGTCTGATCCATCCATTTGTTAACATTTCTGAAAAAAATTGTAACTTAATCTTTTTAACCTCTATATCTTTGTTTCCAGCTCAACTGTTGCTAATCCATTTATATTTCTGCCTGAATTATGTTGTCCCTTGTTGGACTAAAACCAAAAAGAATATGGATCCAATATCCCCATGAAACTAGACTTATGTATCAGATTCACCTTGCAAATTTTTAGCCAAAGAGGCAATGTAAATACATTCATCAGTTGGTTGCTTGAGAAGTGCAATTATTATTTATTAAGGCTCAAACTCTAACATTGCATGGAATAGGATTCCTAGGGTATTCCTAGTTGCTAGAATAGTAGGCGTGGGTTCTGATTCCAAGTGCAATGTTAAGAAGCTTATCTCCAAATTCATTTTGCAATCCATGATGGATCCTGTAGGGTCAAATGAGTGCACTTTAGCATGATCTGAAAGGAAAATTATCTGTAACCTTTGATCAACACTGCTAGTATGTAATATACGTACCTTAGGAAACTCAGGAGGTTACTTGGGAGCAGGGTCGAGCTTTTCTTTATACTTTGTGTCCATTAATGACCTGCCTAACTGTCATCTGATCGTTTGTGCAGGGGTTCTTCAATTTTACGGCTAGGAGGCCTCGCCATCTTCTGAATATATTGGAGCTTGGATATAATGTCATGTACAATGACGTTGATATGGTTTGGTTGAAAGACCCATTTCCTTATTTGGAGGGAAATCACGATGTCTACTTTATGGATGATGTGGCTGCGGTATGTAGGCTGATATTCCTTGCTATTTTACTCTTATAGTCATATGTATACAGAATGCTTCTGCCTGAGTCTGGTCTGTGTGCTAAAAACTGAGAATATTTTACACATCAAATTATCTATGCAAGTACAGTGCAGCATTCAGCAATGATGTCACTTGTTTCTGCTTTGATGTAAATAACATTGCATAAACGCCCTCTTTAGGTGTTTAGGTTTGCATAATCCTGTTTAATGATCATGACGGGTCTAATGAGCATGTTCTTATATCAACTACTCAGTAAAATCAGAGACCTGTGTATAAGTTCAAAAGTAAAAAACGCATCCTTTGCTAATAGTTATGGATGATAATTTTTTCTTTCATAATTTTTATTCTTGCCTCTGCTTCTTATATCTAGGTGAAGCCTTTGAACCATTCTCATGCCTTACCACCTCCAGGGAAAAAGGGACGACCTTATGTTTGTAGCTGCATGATATTTCTGCGGTCCACGAGTGGTGCCAAGTTGGCTATGAGAAAGTGGCTTGAGGAGCTTCAAGAACAGCCATGGACCAGAGCAAAGAAAGCTAATGACCAGCCTGCATTTAACTGGGCTTTGATGAAAATAGAAAAAAAGGTCGGTCTTTTTACCTCCCTTAGTCACCTCCCCTTTTCCTTTTTACTTATGCTTCCATTCTCCTCCCTTACGCTTTACAGCTGTCACTCCAATGGATTGAGAATAGAGGAAACTTGCTATTCGTTGCCAAAGTGTAGATTTGTTTAGCAAATGATATGTGATAACTCAGTGAAGTTTAGGGTAGTTACATATGTGACTATTGCATCCCAACCAAAGGGGGTGGGGTTAAAAAAGGAAATACGGAGTATGACCTGCACTGTACTGACTTTTTTTTTTTTTTTTTTTTTTTGCTGCTTTTGCTTTTGATTTCTGATATTCATTTTGATAAGCTTTTGGGAGAGCCATAGTTGGTCAATTCTCTGAACAAGGAATGAAGGAAATACTGTATACACCACAAATATGTAAAGAAATTCCATATCAGAATTTTTTTGTTTGTATAAAGCTGACTTGGAGTAACTATTAGCCTAACCTAAGGATACTCATTGGGTTGTATTCTGTACTGGACAACAGGTGGATATGTATCTGCTCTCCCAGTCTGCATTCCCAACTGGAGGTTTGTACTTCAAGAACAAGACATGGGTACGTGAAACTGAAGGTTCACATGTTATCATTCATAACAATTACATCCTAGGATTTGAGAAGAAAATAAAGCGTTTCCGTGACTATAGCCTCTGGCTAGTTGATGATTATGCTTCAGAATCTCCACTTGGCAAGCTATAGAAGTATCAAAGGGTATGGTTATGATTTCGAGTACTACACCTAGCGCTGAACTGCATTTGTAATCTGATTTGGCTGAGCTGCAGCATGTTTCAGCCACTAGCTATGGCATATGCTCAATTTAGAGCTGCTTTAGAATTCCTTCTTTGGCTGTAGTCTCAAGCGAGCTCATTTCAACGAGAGTTTGGCATTCATAAGCTGGATCGCTGGCTGTAAGCTTTCAGAAACACAAGAATGCGCAATGATATCTTCCAATGTCTTGTCTTCAATTTTGATTATTTATAATTATGGGGGTTTTGGGTTTTGGTGTGTTCTAGAGATTTGAGCTTGTATATGTGAACTAATCTCGATTGAGAATCTTGAGTTAATATGTTGTATGGAGCTCTTCATGCCTCACAGGCATCTCACTGAAAAGAGAGATTTCATGATATTTTACTAAGGTCTATCTTCTTCGTTTTGCATATAGAAGGCTGAATAATTACGCCAAAGAACACTGTGAAACACAGAAGGATATATGTGCTGAACATTCTCTTAGCTCTTTATTGTAAATATAACTAAAGTGTGTAATTTTTTGACAGAAATCAAAGGCTCAAATTTATTAAGTAATCAAGTAATATAACTAAAGTGTGTAATGATTCCTTAGTAATGCTACGATATTACATTTGTTGTTATAGAGGACGTAGGACTAAAAAATCAAGATCTTCAATAATCTGCTGATAGGTAGTGGGAATGAAACAAGCGGTGATATTCTCTCCTAGATTAGTCACAAAGTCACAATTGGGAGGGGACTGGAACCTAACCACCCAAAACTGATCCCGAATCCGGATTAGCTCAAAGGGTGAACCGGGTAGAACACCAAAAAAAAACAAAGTCATAGCGGTTCAAGAGCTCAATACTTTTGGCCAAGGATATAGTAAACGGATGTGGAACTAAACCGGTTTGATTGACTTGCACTGTTACGAGTTCTTTAAATTCTGCTAAACTTGCAAGCCCAAGACATTCGTTAAGCCTTATAGAAGTAATGTACCTTAATGCTATATTTGGATCCTCCAGTCCTACTTGTTCATACACATCAATCTCATCATCAAGATGTTCCTCATCCACTTCACCCACCTCCATCACTTGATTTGCTTCACCCTCCACTTCACCCTCCTCTTGACCCCATTGCAATTCCATTGGATCACCCCCCTCCTCCCCACCAAAATCAAAACCAACACCAACATTCTCAAGACCAGCATCAAGATAATCATCACCCCCATCATACCCTCCATTTACTCCACCATTAGCTTCTAATATGGCACCAGAAGCTCCATCTACATGTTGGTCAAAATGCCTTCCATCTAGTGTCTTCATTGTGTCTGAAAATTGCCAAAATTTTAAGCCAGTTACAAACTTTCCATCAATCTAAGAGGTTATTAACAGCTCTATATGGATTCAACACCACACACAGTTATAATGCTACATTGTATTGTAAGAGAAGCAGATGTTCAAGAAATTTAATGCTCACCAAAAGCTGATGAATACAGTTGCTTCCAGCTAAAAGAGACGTCTCCTGGATCAGGAACTGCTAGATCGCGTAAGCTGGCATATTTCCACTTGTATAACCATTTGCAGGTAGTGGCAAGCATCACCAGAGACCTTCCATCTTGGCTATCGCAATCGAGACATCATCCTCAAACCTTTGAGCACAAAATCAGAATTCAGTGAGAAATTTCAATTTGTAACCATTATTCAAAACTACAGAAACTTCAAATAAAATAGTCCTTGTCTATTCACACAAAATCATGCTAATCAAAAGTTAAAAATCAATTGTTGAACCGTTCAATTCCACAAACATAATCAAGATTTAAGAAAAGATGATTACACACAAAATGATTCCAACCACTGCATTTTCTTTGTTAGAGCTAAATCATGAAGTTAAGTTAGCTGAATTATGAGAAAATCCTCACTAATCAATTCAGCATTCATACTAGCTAAACAGATATATGAATAAGCTTGAAATACATACTGTAATATTCTTGCTTGCTTCCCAATATAGCGACCTGTCTTCCCATCATAGTACTCTGGCCAGCCATCATTGGTAAGGTGTTTCTCCACCAGCTCTATGGCATTTCCGGCCATCTGAGGCCTCGCAGTCTTGATGCATACAGATACCAGTAACCACAGCAGAACTGCAATATGAGTATGATTAATAATAACGCATAAGCTTAGATATAATGTTTTGTAAAGGCATGACCGCATGAGAAATGCACCCTAGAGAAAAAGAAGAAGAAGAAGAAAAAAAGTGAGCTTCTGAGGTAAAACGCTGCCTCGGTCAGCGTTTTTCCTCATTTTTATTTATTTAATTTGTTTTGAATTGTGTATTTTGTGAAATACAAAATAAAAAATAAAAAAAACTGAAATACACAAAAACGCTGCCTCAGGCAGCGTGTTTCTAGTATTAATGAAACGCTGCCTCAGTCAGCGTTTTAAGGCCTGTTATAGCCTAACACAAAAACGCTGACTGAGGCAGCGTTTTTGTGTATTTCAGTTTTTTTTATTTTTTATTTTGTATTTCACAAAATACACAATTCAAAACAAATTAAATAAATAAAAATGAGGAAAAACGCTGACCGAGGCAGCGTTTTACCTCAGAAGCTCACTTTCGTAAATAGTTTGGCCACGCGTCTATATTCGTAAATAGTTTACTAATAAGGCTTAGTTTCGTAAAAAATCCGAAAGACGCGGGAGTGAGAGAAGTCTCGTATTTTTTGTATTTGTTTCAACGGAAGTGGTACCCTTAGCTCATTGCCAATTTGCCATTGTTGTTATATGGAAACGACAGCGTTTCAGTTTTGTTATCGGGTATGATTTTTGGGTATCATTTTAAAATGGAAAATTTGCAAATTACCACCCAAAAATAGTTCCATTTTCTAAATAACCACCCATTAAAATTTTATTTTAAATTACCACCCACTAAAATAATTAATTACGCAGATTACCACCTTTTTAAAATTTCTGGTTGATTTCAGGTGTGTGGGGCCCACAGTCATTATATCCCTCCTAAATTTTTTTATTTTTTGTCGATTTCACTATTATAAGCTACTCAAATACTTAAAAATGAGAATCACCTTATTCTCTTCCATTTCTGCCACAATAATTCCAACAACAAATAAACATAAAAGCTTAAAACATGCTTCAACCAATACTAACAGTAATTAATTAAGTGTACAAATTGCAAACACAACTTACCCAGTACTAACAGCAATTCAATGACAAAAAACCTAAATTGGGCAAAGAACATGAACCCTAAATAACTAAACACTCAGTTTCCCCCAATTAAATAGGAAAAGAATCCTAATTTGCGAAGAAAGTAAACCCTAATCAACTAATCAGCAAGTTTTCCCCAATTTAAGCACAATAAGAACCCTAAATTTAAAGAATGTCATAGGTTACCTGATGCGAATTCACCTCTGAGGTTTCTTCAAAATGCTACAACAATTACAAGGGAGTGAAATTTGAGGAATTTGGGGAATTTTTGAAGTACAAATCGCAAATTAGGGTAGGAGAAATGTTATATAGGGGAAAATCGGGGGGAAATTCATTTGGGAAGGAGAAACTAGCCGTTAGTAGCCGTTAGGAGGGCCCCACTCATCTGAATTCCACCGGATTTTGAAAAAAGGTGATAATCTGCATAAAAAATAATTTTAGTGGGTGGTAATTTAAAATAAAATTTTAAATGGGTGGTTATTTAGAAATTGATACTTTTTTGGGGTGGTAATTTACAAATTTTCCACTTTAAAATTAACGATTATCCGTTCCGATTCGATAAACAATTTTTTTTTCCTACTTAAATCTATTATTCCAATATTTAAACCCTTACTTTACTTCATAATTACTACGAATTATATAATATCAATTATTAGTAATAGTAAAAAAAAAAAAATTGGTCAAGATCGTGTAGTATTGTTGTTAATTAGTGTTAAAAATAATAACTAATTTATTAAGTTTAATTATCACTATTGGATACCTTATTGGCTACCTGATAACCGATTCGAAAATTCGGGTACCCGAAGTCCGGGTACCCAAACTTATCGGTTCGGTTTATGGATATCACTTTTAGTGATATTGGTTATCAGGTACCCGATCCGTTAGTACTAACGGTGAAGGTACTCGTCCCATGTCCACCCTTACATGCCTAGATATTTCGAACCACCACGGGATGTTCAAATTTTCTGGGCGTTGCACTCCAAACGCCCATAAACTTTGATCGTCTAGCGGTGGTTTGAAATTTCTAGGCGTTTTTGCCTTGGTGGTTCGTAATTACTAGGAGCAGCAATTCTGCAATTGCTGGTAAAAGCAATTTGCAGAATGTCATTGATAATTTTCCCAAAATCTGAAGGCTCAAAAATTCCCTTCTTCAGAGCATGAAACACCTTCTCTTAATCAATCAATCGTCAATCAATATATATATATATATATATATATATATATATATATATATATATATATATATATATATATATATATATATATATATATATATATAGCTATACTAAAGGCGAAACCAGAAATGACACTTGTCATAACCTGGTTAAAATTTTTCCCTCCAAAAAGTGTTTTTTTTTTTTTTCCCAAAGCTTCTTAGAGAAGTATTTAATTTAATACTTACTTTACAATAATATATTTCTTTTCTATTTGGCAAGTATAATCATTTTTACACATTCAACAAAGATTTATTTATTTATTTTATGACGGGAACAATACAATAATGTAATCTTATCTATAACTTTGTAATGCAATCCATAGTTATTTTCATTAGTCGTGCATGCATTTCTTCCTCCGTTTTCTTTAATGATTTTAAAAAATCATAATTACAGAACTTTCATCCTATTTTGCAATTTGCTATTATTTTTTACAGTAAAATAATTGTATTAAACTAATGATAAATATTGAAATTACCGTGCATGGCACGGGATCTAACCTAATACTTTAAACAAGCAATTACATCTTAATACGAGCCCACGAGCCCACATCATCCAAAATTTCGCACATCCCTCATTTTTTAGTTGTTCTTAGGGCCTGTTCTCATTGACTGAACTCAGCTAAACTGAACTGAACTTAGGGCCTGTTCTCATACGTTGAAATTCAGTTCAGTTCAGCTCAGCTCCTAATTTCCTTCTCTTATAAAATATTCAGTTCAGTCCAGTTCAGCTCCTAATTTCCTTCTCTTATAAAATATTCAATTCAATTCAGCTCAGCTCAGTTCAATTCAGTCAATGAGAACAAGCCCTTAATAGAGCTAAACTGAACTTATTAGAGCTAAATTAAGCTGAACTGAATTGAATATTTTATAAGAGAAGGAAATTAAAAGCTGAACAGAACTGAACTTATTAGAGCTGAACTGAACTGAAAATAAAAGTATGAGAACAAGCCATTAGTTTTGTTGCTATTGTTGTTGTTGGTGTTATTGTTTTTATTATTTTTGTAATTATTGTTGGTGGTGTTGTTATTTCTAATTGTTATTGTTACTTCTTATAATTATAGTTGTTCTTATTGTGTTAGTTATTTTGCTATTATCATTATTATCAAATTTTTGTAGACGAGGTAAGAATGTAATTTTAGATTATAAATGCGGGTGTTACCTAGAGATTTGAGGGCGACGTTTAACGTTCCACAAATAAAGGTTTTTTTTAAAGAAAGAGTTCTTTAATAATTAATTAAAATAATAGAAATGGACCAACTAAATTATAACATGTGGCATAAGCAACCCAAATAATCCGTTAAATTACCCCCATAAACTAACAGGTCATGACTTATTTTGAGAAAATACCCTATAAAGGTCAATTTATTTTGAGTTAATCTAAAAGTTTGCTTATTTTGGAAGATCGAGCAAAAGTTTGCTTATTCTTGACAAAATTTCCTAAACTTATTGTACATTAATTGTAAAGTTTCCTAAAATATCAAAATTTACCTTAAAATAAATAAAAGTTACCACAACTTGTACATGACACAAAATCAAATCATACTGATTGAAAATTAATACAGTAATACCCTTCTAAAGCTTATCTCAATGATTATTTATATTAAGACCATATTTTAAGGTACCCTCAGAAGACTAAAAGTTATCTTAAATTTGGCAAAAATTACTCGAACATTGTTCTTAATTAAAAATTACTGTAAAATGAGTGTTTACAAAAGTTTTTGAACAAGGAATGTTGGGTTTGGATTTTGTCACAAACAAAGGGATTTTTTTTTTTTTTTTTTTTTTTTGAGGGAACGATCAAAGGGATATTATTTTTGCAAAGATAATTATGTTACGAATTGATAAAATTTTTTAAAAATTCCAATTTGATTTATATCATATATAAATCTTGTCAAAAAAAGACTTGTATCTGAAAGAATATTTTCCTCAAAATATTTACATTGACCGCTGTCTATTATAACTCCGTACCGTACGTATCATTATACAAGGCATCCAATGCTATAAACTTTATTTTTTTTTTTGACAATCCAATGCTATAAACGGAGAGATTTCCCATAATATTGTTGAAATAAAAATCAATTCCCATAATACATTGATTTAAAAATAAATTCCCTACATAGTGTCCACGTAGGATCGTTTTTTTGCTTTAGGTTCAACTTAAAACCGCTAATGGTGATAGCGGATTTAAAAAAGAGACCGCCTCTAACAATAACAGGTCTCTTTGCGTCCTTGGTTAATTCACAAGGCATAGTCTAGGAAAAATATTTCAAAGAAACCGCCTTTCAATACGACAGGTCTCTTTGTGTTCTTGTTAATTCTTAGCCCACAACAAGAAATTACACTTATAATTTCAAAGAGACCGCCTTTCAATAAAAACAGGTCTCTTTGACTTTATTTTACAAAAATTGCAAAACCGCTAATACCATTAGCGGTTTTAAGTTGAACCGAAAACCAATCCTATGTGGACACTACTTTGGGAATTTGTTTTTAAAACAAAGCATAATGGGAATTAATTTCTATTTTAACAATATTAAGGGAAATCGTTCCTATAAACAAGGAAAAAATATATTACGAATATTTACCAAACAAATTACAAAGATATTTACATACATCTTAACTGTATCTTATATATAGTACATATCACAAATGGATTATGAAGGGAGGCTGTAGGTGTGAATTGTTTACTCTCGAGGTCTTCTAAACACATTTAGAGAAGAGAATATGGGGGAAAACTCATCATCATCAATATTATCACCATCAATATCATCATCTATATCATCATCATCATCATCACCATCAATATCATCATCATCATCATCAATACCATCATCACCATCAACAATACCATCATCACCATCAAGATCATCAACAAGAATTAATGATCTTGCTGATGAGTTATTGATTGAGATATTTGTTAGACTTGATAATTATATAACAGGGATTAGATGCAAATTAGCATCAAAGCGTTGGTTATCTATACTGTCGAACCCTAAATTTGTTATGGAATACATAAACCATAAGAATAATCTGAAGGAACACCTACCATGGACGTTTTTGTCAACGATGAGGATGACTACTAGACGGATGAATCCTAAAAAAAAAATCCCAACTCACAAGGTATTTAATTCTTCAAAATTCACCCTCACTTTTCTTCCTTTTAAATCGTTTATAATTGTAGCGACTTGCAAAGACCTAATTTTGTGTTTAGATATGAGTGACGAAAAAGATCATCATAACAATCAGTATTACTACATATGCAATCCATTAACAAAGCAATGGGTTGCTCTCCCACCGATTCCAATTTCATCACACGTCTGCTTTTGGGCTAGATTATTTTGCAAATATCCTGACTGTCAAGGAAACATCGATTGCAGCAGGCTTAGGGTTGTGGTTATTCATCCTATACCCATGTTCTATGGCCCGATAACTTTTGATCCTTATAAATCATTCAATTCTATGGTTTTTTGTTCGGAGAAATCTCTATGGAAAAATATTCATCTTCGGATTCCATTGTTACTTAGAAATAATAAAAATAATTTAGTTTTCAAGGGTGCTGTATGTAAGGGAATGGTTTGTATTCGGCACGATTCACATTTCGGGGTGTTCAATCCATTCGACATAACCCCTAATACTGGTGATGAACACGAAGCCAGAAAGATTGGACCATCATTTTTTCCCGGAGATGGAATACTTTTGGAATGTAGAGGGCGATTGATTAGTATGTGCATAACCGTTACACATAGGAATCCCGGTTGGGATGTATTATATGGTGAAGTCCGAATTGATGGTGATGAAGGAGATTTCAATGGACTTGATGATACTCTTAATGATAGTAATAATAAAGATGATGTATGGTTACCAAACTGCAGGGTATATAGCCACAGGTGCATTGACGACTTGGACGGAATAATTATGCCAAATACTACTACTAGATTGATTGGTATTCATCCTACTAACAAGCAATTGATATATCTTGAAAATAAGGTGTGTAGCAATGAGGTGGTAGAAACCAGTGACAATGAGGCCAATTCAAAAGACAGAACTAGTAAGTTGGTTTTGTTTGATAGAAGCTCGTCACACTTGAAGACTTTGGGAGAATTGCATCCCGATCGTCTAGATTCTCCTTGCAGACTTGAGCTCCAACACTGGCCTACACCACTTCCACGTATTTCCTACTAATGTACTATTCTGCTCTGCCCAGAAACTCAAAAGAACAGGGCCTTAGTAGTGGATTAAATGAGAATCCAAATACACCAATTCCACATTAATTTTGATCTTTATAAATTTATTCAACTAGCGTGTAGCCCGGGCGTTGCACCAGTTGCTACTTTAATTAGACCTTGTGATTATCAATTATATACACTTATTTTCATGTTTTTAACATAAATTATGATTGACTTAGATGGTTAAGTAACTGTCTTTCTTATTAAAGGTAGAGTGTTCAAATTCCCTTATCATCATTTTTTTTATATGCAACATTCTAGTTGATTGATTAGTGATGATGGGACATAATGAGAAGTGGAGTAGGTGACATGGCGTGATCTACGTGGCACAGAAACGTTCTTAGTAACGCCTTTTAATATATTACAGTAGTATAGATAAATATAGATTCACCTTATTATCATTCAAGGACGTTGTTCAAAATGTGTACTCTTTTTTTCTTTTTACAAACCTCTCTTAATCACTTATGAAAAAAAAAACTTCTACTATATTTTTACTAAACATATATTGTTAAATGAGTTAAATAAGAATGTCATAGTCCATATAAGTATACTCCTATTAATTAAAAGGAGACATCTGTCCCGCCGTTGGTTAGTTGTTCATATCAATTCACATGCACTGGCTGAATTAGCTAAGCTACTATTGTTAACTACTCGCAGTACGAGCTGAGTATCCTTCCCCCACCCCCCTTTTTTTTGAGAAAAATTAAAATGTTGGACAATATAATACTAGTATTATCCTTTTCCATTACAATTTACAATCATACGGCGTGTTCTACTGTATTTATTTACAAAATAATAGAATTCTGTGTTTCTTTAGATTGAAGCTTTAGCAAGAATATTCTTTAAAAAAAAATATTTCAAGAATAATTGTTTAGCTGGTTTGGAAGTTGAAGTTGGCAAAAATAGGTCCAATATTATTTGTTTAATTTGCGGAGATATTATTTTTTGATTGTTTATATATATATATACTTTGTAAATTATAATTAGTAACTTTGACAACTTTATATTAATATAATATTTAAATTTAATTTTTGTATGTATTTTTCTCGCAATGCTAAAATATAAATGTATTCTTGAGTAAGACAATTGAGTTTCAGTTTAGTGTTGGAAATTTTATTGAATATTTTTTCATTATGTTGTTTATATGAAAATACTCGGTAATAATTTTTCAACAGTAATTAAAAGAAGATTCAATAAACTTGATACTATTCACATCAATCGAAAAGGATCAATTTGCAAACCACTATACGTAGCAACTAGCAAGTTAAAGCGATAATGAACATAATAATCTTGTTAGCTTACAGGTAGTTTTCTAATGGATGCTTTGACGTTTAAGATCCTACTATTGATACCTCACAATTTTAGTATGAGTACTTAGAAAAGGGTATGATAATGGATACAATGATTAAAATTCTAAGGCATGCGCCCAATGCATGAAATGATCAAGAATTTTTTATTTTTTTATTTTTTTTATTTTTTTTTACTATTTATACTTTATATTATAGTTATAATTATATTTATTTTATTTTTTTGACATTGGATGAAGTGATCGAATTTGGATCACATACAATTAGTACAATTTAAATACCAACCGATCTTCCTGCCAAAAAAAAAAACAAAAGAAAAAATTACAAATCCATCTTACTAAAAACAGCTTGCATTGGCATACGTAGGCCATACTTATCAGACTTGTTATTTAATTGGTGACCCATATTATGAATTTCCTCTATAGTAATGGTCACAACCTCACAATTATTTATTTATTTGAGACTTCATTCTCTTTTTTTAATTTTTCAATTGGGTGATGTATTGCGTCAATTATGGTAAGTTGGTAATTGATATTCATATAAAAATTAGGGTCTAACCATTCCTCATTATGGTCATAATAATGTGGAATGTATTTGATCATCAATTGAACTCCTTTTGAAATAAATAAATAAATAAAAATTGAAGTCATTAATTGTCCTTTTCATTTGGACTTTTCAATAATAAAATTTGACAAGTATTATGATGGAGTTATTATTTGAATGTTAACTAGCATCCTGGCCCATGTAATGCACGGGTTATTCATATAAAATTGTATTGAGAGATAAGTGAGGAAATATCAATAAGTCATTATAGGGTATAATATGTAATCGAAAACATGATTAAAGAAATTAAAATTTTGGAACTTTAATCCAAAAAGGGCTTAAAAAGAAGATGGAAGGGCTAAAATTAAAGAGAGAATAGGAAAAAGGTTTAATTAAAGGGGAGAGATGAAGATGAAGATGAAGATGAAGAGATGAAGTGTATATGAAAGATGAAGTATAAGTAAAGAATTAAAAAAAAATGGTGTAATAAAAAATTAATAGTGTAAGATACTAAGATGACATGTGACAATATGGTTAAAGAAGTGTAATAGAATGGATGAGGACATGTGTCTTTCTTAGTTTTTTGGTTATAGTTTTTAAATACTAAGTATAGAGTATAGATATAGATATGTTATATATGTGTACATTTATAGAGTTTTTATTTTGTAACTTAAGCCGATTGATTAAATATGTTTCAATGTTTTGTTATATCGTGGCGGGGTTATTTTATTAATTGACATAAAATTTTTAATACCAATTGGCCTATAATATAAAGACCAATAAATAATGCATTATTACCATCACTAAGTAGGATGTTCGTGTATAAATGTGTTTTTATTTGGTATAGCAGATAAACATCAAAAGTATCGATATTGACTCTTGAGTATTAAGGCATAAAGCAATACATGTCCAATGAACAAATTTTCATCGAAATGCAAACATTTACATTTTATTTTCTTCATTATTTTCCTCTACTTGTCTCCCCAATAACTAAATGTGAGTTCTATCTTATTTCAATTCGTAATCTAAATATACTTTAAAAAAATCATTTATGTACAAATTAGGATTTAATCAATATGATGTGATTATAATCTTAAAAGTTAAATCATCCATTGCATTTCAAAAAAGGTATTGATAGAAAAATCCTTCACCAATCATGAAGAATAATTCACCCTAGTCGAAACTACCCTATTAGGTATAAATAATATGGAGTAATATGGTACTTGTATAATTCATTTGGTTCCTTGAATTCCAAATTGAATCTTTAATAATACTACTCCTAATTAAGCCCAAATCATATGTAATTGTCATCTTAATAAAGATATTAAGATGATAGGAGTATATAAGAGAGAAAAAAAATATTGAGAATTTATAACCTCATAAATATTTGAGACCTCCATTTCTCAATCTTGACCTTCTACCGTTAATGACATTATTCATATGATCGTACCTATAAAAATTGAGAGAAAAAAAAAATTATCCTCCACAATAGTCCAAAGCCCGGGTTAATTTCATAGTGAGTGGGAGCGAAGTTGATGTTCATGCAAATGGGACCTTTTCTTAGAAAAAAAAATAAAATTAATAGAGAATCTTTTTTTTTTTTTTTTGAGAGAAAATTAATAGAGAATCTACTAGACGGAAGGAAAGAAAACAAAAAACAAGGTTATCTTAAAAATAGAGAGAAAAATCCTTGACATTCTATGATCCAAAGATGACTATATCTGCCACCTCACTAGTATTTTATTTATTTATTTGACAAAATAAATATTTTATTGACTTAATTTTCAATTTACACTCCATATTTCTCAGTCTTCCCTTTCTTGCTCACAAGCGTACTTATTGGGTTTTACTGCTGCTTAGCTGTTTTTTGTAAAATATTCAACTCCAAAAATGTTATTTTCTACTCTAATTTTCTTTCTATAATTTTTTTTTTAATAAAATTTCCCCAATTTCATTACCTTCCTTAATTTTGTCCTGGTAATAAAGCTCTGTTCTTTCTTCCCCCACTTATACTCACCAGCATCAACCTAAACCCCATCACTCCATTTTTATTTTTTTTTTAAAAAACCCATTAATTTCTGCTTCGGACAGAGGAATCTCTGCTCCTTTTTATTGGAACTTCAATAATAGTTAATACCCTTCTCTAGATATTAGAGATAATTTCAGAAATTTTGATTTTTCAATCTGGGTTTATGCCAGTTTGTTAAAAATTCTTAGTTTTTTTTTCAAGATTTTCAATCAATTTCAGCTTGATACAGAGAAATCTTTGCTGTTTTGATTAGAACTTCAACTCTACTCTATACCCATCTTCAGATGTAAGTGATAAATTCAGAAAACCTGTTTTTATCAATCTGGGTTTATAGCAATTTCTTGAGGTTGCTATTTATTTTTATTGAGGTTTATTTTGATGGTACTACTGTAAATGGGTTCTCTTGAGAATGGGGTTTTGTTGAAGAAAGATCAACATCATAATCATAGCATTGGGAGAGTTTCTTCATTCTCAAAACAACAAAGACCCAGATCGAGATTTACAAGGTTTTTGCTATCAAAGAGAATAGGCTACTTGCAATGGATTTCCACCATTGTTGTTTTCTCTCTCTTCTTGGTTTTCTTCCAAGCTTTTCTACCAGGTTCAGTGATGGAAAGACCTGGGGATTCACGAAAAACTTTGGATTTAGTTGGTGAAGATTTGATGTACTTAAACCGGATTATTAATGAGCTTGATTTTGGTGAAGATGTGAGGTTTGAGCCAACAAGGTTGTCTGCCAAATTTCAGAAGGAAGCTGCTGAGGTTAATTCATCTTCTGGGTTTAAAAGAGGGATTAGAGTTGGTCATAGGAAGCCCAAACTTGCTCTGGTTAGTACTCTAATAGCTGCTTTATGGTTTTTGCTGATTTTATGGTGTTGATGCTTTTTAATCAATTTTAAGTGGGTTTTTATTTAATTTCTAATTTCAGATTGATAGAATTTGTGCCATGTGCAACTTATTTTGTTACTGAATTTTGAGTGAAATTTAAGCAATAATAGTTGTATTGTACTTGTGCAGTTTATGAGCATGTTGGTTTGTTGTTTTAAGTATATACCAATGTGTTTGATTTTTGTGTGTTGTTGAAGGTTTTTGCGGATCTGGGTGTAGATCCATATCAGATACTAATGGCAACTGTGGGAACTGCACTGCAAGAGATTGGTTACACAATTGAGGTAATGTACTGCATTTGTGTGGCTGAAGTTGGTGAATGGATTAATTGGTGGAGTGGTTAACCTCGTACCGATAGCTATTACCTAATTGTTGTCTTTACTGAATGATGATGTTTGCTGGGCTGTTGCAATCCTTGTTAATAAATTTTTTGGCTATATTAATACAAATGTGTCACAAAATCATTCATTTTGCATGAGTGTATGTCTGAATTATGAAAATGACACCCTCAAGTCCAGAATTCTACTCTGTAGTCTCATGATATTATTTTGAAGTAAAGAGTTTTAGATTAAAATTATAGGCTGTTGAGAACAAATTCAATTCTCCGATTAGGATGGGTTAAGGCATGGCGATAGGTAGATTATCATTTTTTAATAGTTTATGTCAAGTATGCAACGGATCAGGTTGTTGCGTTTGTGAAGATGAGGTACAGAAATTTCCATGAACTTATAGCTGAATTGAGATTAATGATTTATGTTTGAGAGATTAATTATCTGCTGATAGTGAACACTCAAAGCTTGCGGAAGAGATAGGGAAAAGGAGAGACTAGAGAAATAATTGAATACCCATGGATGCACAGTTGTTAATCAAAGATATATATCTGCTGAGGTTTTTGTGATGACATGTTCATATTGGTAGAAACAACGAAAATTCGTGATGCTTGCCAAAGCATAGACTGAAAATTAGATGATAGTGCCACGGCTAAATTCTAAGCAACCTATGACATTATAAGTTGGTTTAGAGGTCAAAGAGATATTAAATGTAGGAAGAGAAATGCCATTAACTGACCAAGATTTGCTATATATATATATATATATAGTGATGGGGTGTAAAGGAAAAACAAGGTTGTCTTTACATGCCATTAAGATCACGAGGAATGCTTACGAGACTATGAGATTGTCTCTTGACGCTGTATCCCCTTTACACTGGGCCCCTGAGAGTGGTTTGGCCTTCTGTAAATGTGTTATTTGCTGCTTTGGCATAGGTTAGTTTGTGTGTCTACATTATGAGTATTTAAAGTGTTATTCATCATTCATCAAGATGTTGGTACATTGTCTAAGCCAAGCTATCAAATCCACAAGATAGATGAAGTGAAGCAGTACAAAAAGTAATGATTGGCTGTTTCATGTTGTGTAAATCTAAATGTCAGTTTGGTGTAGATGCTTCTACGACAGTTTGGACACCGAAGAACCATAGATTAACAAATTGGTTTTGTGTTGATTTTAACTTTTAGAAAGGACCATCAATCAGCTAAAACACTAGTTCAAGCTAGTTTACTAGAGTACTAGACCATGATGCATGTTGTGTATAAAGATTTCTAATATGAACCTTACATGAAGGAGGGATACACAGATTAAGTATTGTCTGTGAATAATAGAAAGATAAAGAGATATGGAACATTTAATGGGGAGACTAGATAACATATTACCAAACATGAAAGGGAAATATTATTATGAAACTTACTAATAAATTAGGGGAATGTAGGCAATTCATATTGAATTAATGAAGTATTATATTTATACACCATGCATGATTATGTTGCCAGCTTTATGATTTAAAATAGTTATGCATCTATGTTTTCTGAGGTAGTGAATCGGAAAGCATTTAACATTGCCCTGAACTCCAACATATATTGATGTCATTTCTATTTCATTCCCCTACTAATGTTCGTAATGGTGGGTTTGACCTCAATCAATGACTTCTTTCCCCGTTAGTAATATGTTGTGATGATTGCCTTGAAACATTTCAGGTATTTTCAAGTGAAGATGGTCCTGCGCACACTGTGTGGCAACATATAGGAGCTCCGGTCAGCACAATTGAAATCAAAGACCACTGCAGAAATAGTGTGGATTGGCTGAAGTATGTTATCAGCCTTATCTTTTGTGGGGAAATGTATATTTGGTCCCATCTTAATGTGCTTCTCATGAGACTTGTGCTGTTGTTCCCTTGTGCCTTATCATATATCCACTAAGTTTTCTTATGGTACTAAATTAGAGGACATGTTATTGAATAGAATTTAAAGCTGATGCCACTTATATCACATGTTAAAATGGAGAGCTAAAATAAAATTTGTCAACAGATGAATCTATTCATAAGCAAAGGTATCTTGATAATATCTCTGTGAATATATTTACTTGATATCTAGGTGGCATAATGACTTGTGTTACATCGAGAATAAAGTTGAGGATGATCAGATTGAGAAGTTTCAGATTTGGCATAATTTTGATCTTTATGGTTGATCCACATATCTCCATAATCATTTGTGAATAATTTACCGTTATAAAATATTTATTATGAATTACGGACATAACTTAATCTGTTTGCACAAAAACAATCCAAATATGAATAGTCAATCCCCTAGGTGCAATTAGGACAAGATCATTCTCTACCAGAAGCATGCTTGTAGATCTACGTGTTTCCATATTGTCTGTGCAGATGGGGCAGGGAGTGGGTGGGCTGGGGTGGTCAATACAGGACATTAATTTCCATATTCTTTCCTCTAACTGTTGCTGTTTCCTTTGCAGCTATGATGGTATACTACTTAATTCGCTTGAGGGGAAAGAAATCCTTTCTTGGTATGCTTCTCAATTTGTGTACAAAAAATGTGTATGTTGTAATAACCCTCAATTTCAAACTTTCAGTTGCTTATTCTGGTTCATACTTTCTATTTTGAAGTGTTTTCAAGTTTGACTTCTGTTGCAAACTTTTTGAAGTTATATGTAGCTTGTTCTATGGGAGTCATATAATGAATGATGTTGTATCATGCTTCAAAATTGCAGCCTTTGGTTTAGTGATTAAATTCTTATTCATCAATTTTCTTGTGTCAATATGTTTTATATAACTTAATTCTTTACCATTTTGGAAAAAAAAAAAAAAAAAAAAACATTAGATTGACTTGTTAACTTATTATACATTGAAAGAAATAGAGAATGTTGTTGTTAATTAGAATTAATTGTGAAGGATATACCCTATGAGTTCCGATGGAATTTACGTATTCTATCAATCTGAATATTGAATCCATAATTTCTGGTGCTCCTTAAAATGATTATAAATAACTGAAGAACAATGAACTTAATGCATTTGTACTGTTTCCTTTTACTTGCTGACAATCCTTCATTGAGTTTATGTGCAAGTCTATTGCAATGAATGATCATACTTGTTACAGTTTTATGCAGGAACCTTTCAAGTCATTACCCCTTGTTTGGACCATACATGAAGACCGACTCGCCACTCATCTGAATCAGTACACTGTAAATGGAACAGTTGAAATTTTAAATGATTGGAAGAAGAGCTTCAGCCGTGCTACTGTAGTTGTATTTCCAAATTATGCCCTTCCGGTACGAACATCTATTTTTAACACCTGTATTGGCTAGACTCTAGAGTTGTTAGTCATCTTACTGTCTGTATTATTTTCATGGGAGTGATCATATTCAACCGACTGTACAGTTGTGCACTATAATCTAGAATAATGACTGCAAGTTAGGTATGTTTCACGTGATAATATTCTTTAGGTTTAAGTGGGGTTTTCTCGTTGCACATAATCTATTGCTTATCCAATTCCCAGTCTCACTAATAGGCTAATTGGTCTTTTCATGTTTCTCCCTCCTCTGTGGTGTCCTTCTGTAAAGTATTTATTATCAAAGAGCTATCTTAGACTTTGTCTAATGCTATCAAATTCCTTTTATAGATGATGTATTCGAAATTTGATACGGGCAACTATTTGGTCGTCCCGGGTTCTCCAACTGAAGCATGGGAGGCAGATAGTTTAATGAGCTTTAATCAAGAGCAGGTCTATGCCAAGATGGGTTTTGCTGCTGATGATTTTGTTATTGCTGTCGTGGGAAGTCAATTTATGTACAAGGGTTTATGGCTGGAACAGGCCCTTATATTACAGGCTTTAAAGCCACTTCTCACAGAAATTCTTCCTGACGATAAATCTGATTTTGGTTTCAAAATCATTATTTTAACTGGCGATTCTACTGGTAATTACACCAAGGCTGTGGAGGTATAAATCTGACTGCTAAATCTTGAATTTGATTAGTACTCCTTTGTTGACATTAAACTGAACATGTTGATTGTTGAATATTCACTGAAGGCCATTTCTACAAGTCTGGATTATCCAAAGGGTATTGTGAAGCATGTTGATCGTAATGCAAGTGTAGATGATGCTCTCAGGACTGCCAACCTTGTCATTTATGGATCATTCCTTGAAGAAGAATCATTTCCAGATATCTTAATCAAATCCATGTGCTATGAGAAGCTCATAATTGCCCCTAATCTCTCCATGATAAAGAAATATGTATGTGGCCTTTCTTCAAATATTTTTTTCCCTTTAAACTTGTGAATTTATGATAGATCACATTAGTAGACAATCTTTAAAATATAATTGCTATTAGTACTCGTCGCTACTTCTTTGTTCTAGAAATTACAGAGGACTGATATTGTGCTCAGTGTATAGAAATTTTTGGAACCACCTGGGTCATTCTTTTCCAATTGTAAATACATGCTATCAAAGTAGACTTTCCTGCTGCTGTTTCCATACTGATATGCACCGGGTTCCAAGTTTTTATCCTTTTTCACTGATTGCCTGTCTGGCATTTCATTGACATTAGACTGTAGAGAAGTGTAAATGCTCGTGCATGAGCCTAAAAATCTAAATTGGGCCTTATAGAAGAAAAAAGAAATTAATACTGCCTTATTTAAGTGCTGAATACTCCTCTTGTATATATATACTGTATGGCTGTATGCTATGGTTGTTTGCACTAAGCTGTTTTTTCAGGAGATCCAACTTCTGACTACATTTTCAATAACATTTAGGTTGATGACAGGGTGAATGGCTATCTTTTCCCAAAGGAGGATATCAAGGTCTTAACTGCCATTATATCGCAAGTTGTTTCAAGGGGAAAATTGTCACCTCTAGCTCACAATGTCGCTTCAATTGGGAAAGAAACGGCAAAAAACCTCAAGTCAATGGAAGCTGTTGAAGGTTATGCATCACTTTTGGAAAATATCCTTAAATTACCGTCGGAAGTTGCTGTCCCAAAGTCTGCTTCTGAAATTCCTTCCAAATACAAAAATGAATGGCGGTGGAACATCTTGAAAATGATTCCTGATGCAAAATATAGAAGCAGAAATACTAGTGTTTACTTGGACAAAATTGAAGAGTTGAGTCGTAATAAAACAGATCCCGCCATTTCTACATCTGCTAAGGACGAGGATTTTTTATATAGCATTTGGGAAGAACAGAAACAATTTGATATTGCTAATGCTAGAAAGAGAAGAGAAGATGCAGAGGTGAGACACCTTCACGCCGATCAGTGTTCTTTCTTTCTATTTTGAAAATTGAATGAATTTTCCTTTTGTTTCCTATAGTAAAAATATGAAATTTTATGTGGTTTCATTATACAGCTTAAAGATAGATCTGATCAGCCTCGAGGAACGTGGGAGGATGTATATCGAAGTTCCAGAAGGGCTGATCACATGAAGAACGATTTGCATGAAAGAGATGACGGGGAGCTTGAAAGGACTGGTCAACCATTGTGTATATATGAACCATACCTTGGGGAGGGAAGCTGGCCTTTTTTGCATCATAAACCACTTTATCGAGGAATCGGTCTGGTAATTTATTCATCGAAAAAACTTGCATGGTTTCCTATATTTGATGCTATAGAATAATTTGCACTTTCAACTTTTTGTTTCATTCTCTTCCGATTTTTTCTTATTTCCTTTCCAATGGCTTAAAAACCTTGCCTCACCAGTAGCTAGCTAGTTGTTTTATCAATGAATGTTGTTTGTAGGCTTCAAGAGGACGTAGACGCGGAACAGATGATGTGGACGCATCCTCTCGTCTTTCTCTTCTCAGCAACCCTTATTACCGAGATGCACTTGGGGAATTTGGAGCCTTCTTTGCAATTGCTAATCGAGTTGATCGTGTCCACAAAAACGCCTGGATAGGGTTCCAGTCTTGGAGAGCAACAGCTAGAAAGGTACTTATTTCTGAACCTCTTTATATTATAGATATTTCTTCATCGTTTGTAGACAGCTAAATGCAAGGTTGATATTTTTTGTTTAATTTTATCAGAAAGTGTTGTCTAAAACTGCGGAGAAAGCTTTGCTTAAAGCTATTGAAACAGGAGAACACGGGGACACTTTCTACTTTTGGGTCCGGTTGGATTCGGATCCTAGAAACCCCATGAACAAAGATTTTTGGTCATTTTGTGATGCTGTAAATGCTGGTAATTGCAGGTAGGACCTCAAACTCCCCAAACTGTTGCTTTCTACGGAGTATGTGTTTTTAATGCCTTTAGTTGACACCTAAATTGTGCTTGTAGGTCTGCATTCTCAGATGCTTTTAAAAGGATGTACGGAATTAAGCAAGATTGGGATTCTCTTCCACCCATGCCTATGGATGGAGATACATGGTCTGTAATGCACAGCTGGTCCCTACCAACTAGGTCATTTCTAGAATATGTCATGTTTGCAAGGTATTTGAAAATTGAAATTTATGCTTACTATGCATGTCTTACATATTTGTTCATTTGATTTACCTTGTCTAAATTCTTTTCCTGTTAATCACATATGCTATATGTTGCAGAATGTTTGTTGATGCATTGGATGCTCAAATGTACGAAGAACACCACCGAAGTGGGCACTGTTATTTGAGCTTAAACAAAGTAAGGCTTCGGTTTTTTTTTTCCTTATTTTTCGTTATTGTGGCCCTTATCTGATCTATTTTTGGGTATTTCCTATCTGAGCTTAATCTTCTGAGACTACATATTACACTAGTATGATGCTTCCACCATGCCTCTTGGTAACTTTAGTTTCATGTTTTCTTCTACAATTTCAACTTCTGAACTATGAAAAATAACAGCCAAGTCATCAGCCAACTTGTCTGTCCCCTTGTTTCAAGCTTTATAGTAGTTTTCATTTCCAAAGTACAAAAATTGTATTCTTGTAAGTGTATATACTTTCAGCTCAATTGATGTGAAAGTAGTTGGCCATCTTGATTATCTTTCTAATAATGCAACAAAAAACAACACTGCAGGACAAGCATTGTTACTCTCGGGTACTTGAGCTGCTCATAAACGTTTGGGCATACCATAGTGCGAGGCACATGGTTTATATCGATCCTGAAACTGGCAAGATGCAAGAACAGCATGGATTGCAGAATAGGAGAGGTCACATGTGGTTAAAATTCTTCTCTTTACGCACTCTTAAAAGCATGGATGAGGAATTGGCCGAGGAAGCAGACTCTGAGAAAACGAAAAGGCATTGGTTATGGCCTAAAACTGGTGAGATCTTCTGGCAAGGTGTGTATGAGAAGGAGAGAGAGGAAAAGAAGAAGATGAGAGCCGAGAAAAAGAGAAAAAGCAAGGAGAAAGTTGATAGGATAAAAAATCGAAACTCGAAACATATGAAACCCATAGACAAGTATGTAAAACCCCCACCTGAGGAAATGTCAAAGATTACTACTACAACTAACAGTAGTACTACAGATGTGGCAAGGAGATAGTATTTGGTTTTCCTTTCCAGTTTCCTGCATTGGGTTGCTGCTAAAAATAGGTTATAGTTAATGATTCTTTTTGTATCAAGAGTTTTAGTTAATTCTCCTATTTGTAAATTTTTTCCAGAAAAGGATGCTCGAGTTTGTAAATGGAGAATAGTGGAGGGAGGGGGGAAGAGACAATGCATCCTTTTACGGTATTGATGTTGATAATATTCATTATATTTAGATGATGTCCATTCATCCCCATTTACATGTGTGAATCTCTCTGACTAATATTCTCTCGTGACTAATTCTCATCAACACAATTGAAAATGCATGCCTTCGGAAAATTAAGTACTCCTCGAGGAATTGAGTTCACTATTATTTTGCCTTAAATCTTTAGTAGATGGCCTTGTTAAGGGTGTTGTGTTGAAATAATTTTGATTCGATATTATAGTAATGGTCCAAATTGCTATATTAGGTATTCAAGAAAACCCATGAATTATGTTTTGGCACGTAAAAGGTCTCTATAGGTTCCATCCAGGTTCTTGCAAGAGGAGCTATCAATCACTTGTCCAAAAGGAGTTTACTTACTTCAGCCTCTACTATGCTAGTTTTGTGGAGGCTGCTACCACAAGTTCCGTTCAAGATTCATCCTGCGAACACCAACTAGTGTGACATGTTCTGAGATGTTCAAACAAGTTTCTCCGAGAAGCTTAATTTTGATGTTGTAGCCTTATGGCTTGAACTTTCCTAGACTTTTTGAGAAAATTACGTGTTGAAGACTGTGATTAGTAAAAATTAACTCCGTTCAAAAATAAATAATAAATAAAAATAAATAAATAAATAAATAAAATAAAATAAAAAAGAGTAAAAATTAACTATTTTTATAAAATACAATACGGAGTAACAAAGAATAATAATTATCACCATGAAACTTGCATTTCACAAGAAACAACCCAGTTTAAAGCTTGTGTTAAGCCTGTTTACTACACCAAAAATAAGTTTTCAGATTCACTATGAAGTAAAAACTCATTACATATTTTACTCTAAGAACCCTGACGCACCAAAATTGGATACAATACATCTACCCTTCTTTCAATTAAAAATTTGCGTATTCTTCATCTCCCGGGCAAGTCCACTGGACATACATATCAGTAGTCATCCAGAGTAGAGGTAAAAGCATTAAAATCTTGGCGCTGCATGAGAATAGACGAGCACATTAGATATGAAGAAGAACAAATTTCATTTTCAATTTCAGAAAACTGAGAACAAGAACAGCCTACCTCCTCCCATTGTAGCTTCGGGTAACCGCTCAATTGAATATCTGTGGCTGGTGATGTACATGATAGGCACACCAGGTATCTGATTACCCAATTATTTTCAGGGTTCAAAGCAACAAGATAATCAATAGACATGTTTTAAGCTTCAAAATTCATGATGACCATGACAATAAAAATTTTGATTCTTCTATATGAAAAAAAAAAAAAACAGAATTACCTTCCTAATCCGACGCTTCAAATCACGATCACAGGTCGCAACAATGTAGCATTTATGCTGTTTTCAACAAAGTAAATCATAAATATTAAGCCAAAACAAGTGGCACAAATGCAGAGTGTAAAAAAAAGGACAGGAATGAAGCTTTTGAATACAGAGAATTCAAAATGGGCATGGTATATAAGCTCTGTCTGTCCCCAGCATTTACACTGTTTGGATAACAAAACAGATGGGAAAAGAGGGGAAGGGTAAGACTACTGTAAGAGAAGGAAGAGGAGATAAAAGAGGGGTTCCAATTTTGGAGGGATGTTTATTAAAGCGGGGTGAACTAAATTTTAGTATAAACTTAATTATTTTTCAGGGGTAAACTAAGCTTTGTATAAACTAAATTCCCAACAAGAGATCACCAATTGAAGTCTCGAACTATAAAGTTAGCAGAAAACAAGAAATTTGTCCAAACATACACTAATGATAACAGAACTCATTCAATTGTTCAGAAATTCTATATACATGGCTGAGTAAATGCTTCATTTCTTTTAGATGTAGTAAATTCTTTTACAGTATCCTAGTCACATGTAGGAGAAAAAAACTAACAGGAAGGAGGGATGCCATTAGCCTCAAGATATAATCCCATTCCCACTTTCCCATCTCATACAAAAAATTGTAGCTAATGTATATAAATGTAACTCTTTGAAGAGGATATCAGATCTTCGATGCAGTTCACAATTGCCACAATGATATCTTTCTTTTTAATACGGTGCAGATAAAGGGTAGTTATTTCATCATACTGCAAACATACCTGAGTGACCCTGTCAACAATGCAATCATCAGCATATGTTCCCTTGTGAATACATGGAAGTCTGTCAAACCGAGGATCCTTGGCAATCCTGCATGTAAAGATAGATATAGACTGGTGATGGCCTCACATCAACATGGAAACAACTTAAGTCCCAAGGACACAAATCAGTGAAATGACACAAAATGAATGACCAAATTGATATCGAAGATAAACTAAATTCAATTGCTAATACAGGGGAAAATGATAGATATAGTTGTTTCATGACCAAATTGCTAATCAAAGATAAACTAAATTCATGAGAAAACACAGTGAGTATATTTGTTTCCACGATAAAAGGAATACCAAAAGCCGTATTCCAAGAAATAAATAGGTCTTTCACTTGTAAAGATGAAAAAGATGTAAAATGTACCTCAACGCTACACGATACTTTTGACCAAGCTTCTCAAGTTCGGCCATAACACAATCCGTAATACAAGGCGTACCTATGGTAGAATAATCAAGGTAAATACAACAGAAAGTATATAGCACACAATGTCTAAACTGTATATAAAAAAAAATGATAGTAATCACTCACATTTAGCATATAAGCAGTCCATCATTGCTTTCTCCAAATCCAACTATCCAAACATAAAACAACAAAATCATTAGACAAAACTAACACAAATTTACAAAGCCTAATTACCAACAAGCATATTTCTGCAATCAACCCAAGAACAGAGCAAAATTCCAGCTGAATAATATAGGTAAAACTAATAAAACCATGAATTGAGGTTCTCACTTTGTTTTGGATAGAAAAATTGATGAAATTAGTATCAACTATAACCCGATAAGGCGGTCCCAATGCAGTATTATACTTGAAAAATAGGGCAGATGATACATTAGGCCTGAAAATCATTCACACCCACAAAAACAACAAATTGAATCAAATTAACATTAAATTTGATTAAACCCAATAATTATAACTGCTTAATACTAAATAAATTGAAGAAATAAAGAAGCTTACACATTTCTAGGAAGATTAGCGGATTCAAGGTCTTTCTTTGTAGGGTTTAATACTTCTTGCTTGTGCCTGAATTTGAATAAAACAATAGACAATTAAGGAATTAGTACCTGTTAATTAATCAACAGAAGAAGATAGAGAGGAAGAGAGAGAACTAGTACTGTTTGAGGGTTTTGGAAGTGAGGAGCTTCTTCCTGACGGCAAATTTGGGGGCTGTTTTAGCTTTTCCCATGATTTCGCCGGTGATAAACCCTAAACCCTAGAGAGAAAAGAAAGAGAAAGAAGTGGCGCGGTGGAAAATTATGGGGTAAAAGTGGCGGAGGTGGCGGTGATGCGACAACGGCAACCCCTTTTTTATTATTATTAAAACTTGTACTCCCACAAAATTTGTTACTTGTAGAACTTAGAGTTTTGTCAAAAGGCAACTATAAAATGCATTTATGTTAAAAGGTTCGGGTTCGAATCCTACCAAGTGAGGGGTGTTTACTGTTTAGGGGTAGGAATTTCTTTATCCTCCCCTCTATTCTAAAATTGTAAGATTTGAATTTTGTTCAGAGTTCTCTTTACCGTATACTATTATTGTTCATCCATTTTCCAGGCTAAATTTCCTTGTGCAAATTATTAGAGAATAATTTGTACACTAATATAATATGTAGATATGTAATACTTACAATACTCGTATATAGAGCTGTCAAAAGTTGATCCAACCCGAAATACTGACTCAAACCCGATTATTAAAAAATTCATCTGAACCCGACAAAATGGTGACCCAAACTCGACCTGACCCGACTTAAAACCAACCCTAGACTCGAGTTGACCCGAGTATGTGAGACCCGAACCTGAACATGAACTGACCTGGAGATGACCCGGCCCGAATGTAACCCATAAATTATTCACCTGAACCGAACTCGACTTAACCGAAATTGACCCAAACCCATTTTAACCCGCCAAAACCCGAATTTAACCTGACTTGTTACTAACCTAACCTGAATTCAACCCGACCCGAATTTAATCCAACCTGTTACAAACCCGACCCAAAATCAACCCGACTTGTTATTAACCTGACTCAAATTCATCTCGACTTGTTATTAACCCGACCCGAATTTTGACATACCTATTACTTACCCCAACCCATAAATTTAACCCGATCTGTTACTAACCCGACTCAAATTTAACATGACTTGTTATTGATCCGCCTAAATTAAACCCAAATTGTTCCTGACCCGATTTCAAATACCTTAAATGCAATTTAGACCACCTTATTATTGTTGATCAAAGCATTTTGTCTTGGGAGACCAAGTCGGTCCAGGCCAGCAAAAGAATGGAGCATCATCCTCAAATTTAAAAGTTGAATATAGTATATATTTGTTGTATGGTCAAAGGTGATAATTATCTTCCTAAATTATAGACATTAGTTCTCTAGTATATTTCCATATATATTATAGTCAAAGGAAATAATTAGCTTCATAAAAATGATGATTATCTATTTATAGTTAATTGAACCCGAATATGACCTGGCTTGGAAATGACCCGACCTGATTGTAACATGCAAATTATTGACCTGAACATAATCCGACTTGAATCCAAGAATGACCCGATTTGGAAATGACCCAACCTGATTACACAACAAGAAAATGGCATGTTTCCGACCGAAATTTTCCGTCGCTAAAGGGTCTAAATCCGTCGCAAATCATGTTTACGACGGAATTCCGTCGTCGATTTCCGTTGTAAAACCTTTGGTAGGAAATTCATGAATTTTCGAGGAATATTCCGTCGGAAAGGTGTATTCCGACGGATTTTACGACCGAATTTAATCCGTCGCAGAACATATTGACTTTTTGGTTTAGTCCGTCGCTAATTTGCGACGACATATTCCGTCGGTGTGCTGTCTACAACGACGGATATTTCCGTCGCAAATGTAATTTTCCGACCGAAATATTCCGTCGCAAACAGCATTTTCCGACCGATTATTTCCGTCGCTGGTAGTGTGTGTTGCGACGAAAATTATTCCGTCGCTGGCTTACGACGGAACATTCCGTCGGAAAGGGTGGTGAGTTCCGACGGATTTAACTCCAGTTTTCCGTCGCAAATGTAGTGCTTCTGACCAATATAATTCCGTCGCAAATTGCTTTTCCTTTCGAACAAAAATATTGACAAATATTATTATAATTGCGTATGTTCCTGCACCAAATACCTGTGATAATTAAAACTATTATCGAATTGCGAAAATATTAATAAATATTATTTTCTTAAAAGCTATATATATCCAAAAGCTACATAATATATAGTAAGTTCTACAAAAGCGGGAACATAATCAAACGCTACATAAAATCGATCAAATTAAGTGCTTGTCCATACTACACAAACCTAAGCTAAGCTAAAAAACTACAGGTGTAGGGAATAATTTCAAGCCTTTAAAATCCCACTAGCTTGAACCCCACTGTGAATACACTAAAGTACGGTGGCGTCCAAAAGGGAAGAAGATAGAGCAAAAGAGTCGCCAACAAGTTTTTAAGGAACTTGTAAACCGTTCACGAGGTGAAGGTTACACCCCTTAACGATCCAAGAGATCGTCAACTCCATAAGGTCATGAACCAAATAAGGGTTCGGGGATGAAGGTACAAAATCCAACCTAAAAGAGATTGAACCTGCCCTAATAATAGGCCTCTACTTTATTCTGCTCGTATTCATGTGCGCTTTCTAACTAACATACAATCAATAGGATTAACCCTAAACTTGTTTAATCTATGTTGGTTGAATTTAATGCACAAATAAACTATTATTGACGATCACTTGAATTATAATCACATTAACCCTAACAAGATTATTAATTATCTTATTAAGCGCGATTGCAAATACCAAATTCCCTTTAAACATACAATAAAAGGCGATCAAGCAATAACAATATAAAAATATAATACATATCAAGCAACATAATAAATAACATCATTAATAATAATAATATCAATCATAATTAATGATAATCATAATCATGTTAAAGCATAGCAAGATCCTAGGCATGATACTAACAAGATTAATAACAAACCCTAGCATGTCACTAAGCAATAAAAATCAAATCTTTAGCCCTAACATGATACTAACAATCATAAATATTAGGAAGAAAATAAAAGGCATCATAACAATCATATTTAATATTAACATTAACCTAGACATGATACTAGGAATCATAATAACAACATAAACATGATATCTACATCATAAATCAATTAATCAATTAAAGTACTTACTTGGATGCCTCGTACCTCTTTTTAATAACAAAATACACGCGTTAGTAACTTCAAGGAAAATAATAATCAAAACAATTAAATTAAATAATTGAAAGAGAGATATAGGACCAAACCCTCAGAAATTAAAACCTTTCACGTCTAGGGCGAAGGCAATTTCGAATATGGCTAGGTGTTTCTAGATCTTGCGAATGCAGAATTTTGTATTAAAAAGCAAGAAAGAATTGAATGCTAAAGAATTAATATTTATTGAGAATTGATGAAGGATGAAAACTTGTGAATGAAGAGAGTTGATTAAAACTAATTGTTGATGAGAATTCGTGAATGATGATTGTAGATGAATGAAAACGGAGTTTTTAATACGATATTTATAGAGAAAATCAGCCAAAAAAGATAATTTAACAAAACAGAGTCTGAAGATCACAAAACAGCATTGGCGCCAACCCTGGCTAACTGGCGCCAGGCACCAGTGGCTAGCGCCAGTCGCCAATGGCTAGCGTCTGGCGCCAAGCCTGGTTCCAGGCGCCAAGTCCTGGGGTTGGACGCCAATCTTAATTCCAACGCGTTTTCGAAAATCTGATAAGTTTACCGTACTGGAAGATAAACTAATATAATTTCTTCGAAAATGCTATTTGATCTTGATTAAAACTCTGAAAAGTCCTAATTGAATTAGGAATGAAAAGAACCTTCTAGAAGATTCTAGAAGACTAAAACCATTCCTAATTGCATTAGGAATGATAAATCATATTAGGCCCTCCCCTAGATCATTGGGCCGTACATAAAGCTCAAACCGGGCCCAGTTTAGTAAATTGGCCATAACTTCCTCAATATTCATCGAAATTGGGCTTATAATATATCGTTGGAAAGGTCTTTGCAAGCCCCATCCAACTACACCACTATTGGACCCATATCATGGACCAACCAAACTGGATTGGATTTTTTCTTAAAATAAAGTTTTCCAAAACAGGGAGAAGAGAAAAGAAATAAAACTTTCCGCAACACTAGACCTTTCCACACTTTCGTTTCATTCGATTATGATTCGACGTGAAAGGTACTCATCACTGGGTTTGGTTTTGGGGAGACAAAAATGGGTGTCTACAGCAGGGGTACCCTGGCTTGCTCCTCCACTACCCGAATCATCCCTAGGGTCTCGACGCTGAGGCTGAATGGTGGAACATGTGTCGTTGTTGTTGCCGAATCGTCTCATGAAGTCATTCCACCTCTCCTCGGCTCTCCTCTCCATTTGGGCCACTTCAACTCGAATTTGAGCTTGCATCTCAACTTCCATTTCACTCCGAAGTTCACTCCGTATTTCACTCCGGAGTTCACTGCGGATCTCACTACGAAGAGCCTCGACCCTATGCTCCATCTGATCCTGCATCTGAGAAACAACGGATGGTGTGTACTGTTGTGAAGACCTAGACACCCGACCCATCCGTTCGCCATAGTACAACGATGCGCTTTCGCCAAGTCCCCCCACTCGACCCTTCTTGTTACGACCACCCACAGTCTCCCAATACAACTCATTGGGACTCTTTTTAATCCCTTGGGTGGTGGCTTCTTCAACCTTCTTCTGGTAGGACTCCTACAAGAAATACATTATACAATTATATATGGTTTTAATAATTTACCAACAACATCAGTTACAATTAAAGCAACATATAAGTGAAAATGGAATCAAATAACAATAAAAGAAGCATATTTCTAAGTTTAAGGGTTTATATCCTTAAAATGAAGCCATTTCAAGCCTTTATGGCTTCTTACATGCCTATTTCCAACATTTCTTAACTTTTTAACTCATTCTTTGTCATACCATCTCATATTTACATACTTATAACATATTATGGGTATAAATCACATAAAAGAAGAATATTTCTAAGTTTAAGGGTCTTTATCCTCAAAATGAAGTCATTTCAAGCCTTTATGGCTTCTTACATGCCTATTTCCAACATTTCTTAACTTTTTAACTCATTCTTTGTCAAACCATCATATTTACATACTTATAACATATTATGGGTATAAATCACATAAAAGAAGCATATTTATAAGTTTAAGGGTTTATATCCTCATAATGAAGTCATTTCAAGCCTTTATGGCTTCTTACATGCCTATTTCCAACATTTCTTAACTTTTTAACTCATTCTTTGTCTAACCATCTCA